TGTGTGTGTGTGCGATGATTTGTTTTACGACCGAATCGAAATCTCGAGATTTGTGTTGGAAGGGGTGAGTGTGATGGTGGTGGTGGTGAGGGGGGTAATAACGAGGGTAGTAAAATTTTATTATTTTGTTCAGATTGTTCAGCACGCGAATCATAGAGAAAAGAAAAAAGGAAAAAATTAAATTTCGACTCGGGTGAAACGAACGAAATAATTATTATTACTATTTATATCGTGAATAATTATCCATCATTATTATCATTATCATCATCATCGTGGTTGTTGTTGTTATTAATAATAATTTCTCTTTCCTGTTTGTTCTTTTTTTTTTTTTTTTTTTTGTGCTCTCGAATTTACGTGATAACAGTAAAAAAGAAGTTTTTCCAGTTTTCATTCAGTCAGGGGTTTTCAATCAAGGCTTTGTCGACTGAATAACAAAAAAAAAAAAATTGTTATAAATAATTTGAAAAAGTATCATCATCATCATCATCATCATCATCATTATCATTAACTATGTAATTAGCATAATTAAGTGGTTTGGAATGGCGAAGAAGAAGCAGAAGAAAAAAAATTGTTAACAATCAATGTTTTCATTCAAAGATAACTGTTGTTCGGTGGGTGATGTTGGAGGGGAAGGTGACCGTTGAGAACAAAAAAAAAAAATGGCGGATGAGAAAAAGAGAAAATAAAATTAGTAGAATTGTATGGTAAATATTACTCGTTCGTTTCGAAAAAAATTTTCTTCTGCTTTGTTTTTGTTGTTGTTGTCGATGATGATGATGATGATAACGATAACGTTGTTTTACTTTTCTTCTCACCCATCGCGTCGTCGTCCGCCATTTTTAATTTTTATTTATAAATAATCAATTCAATATTCAATAACGACCCGCCGCCCTGGATAGAAAGTTTGAATTTATAATAATAATGATGATGATAATAATAATAATGATGATGATGATGTTAATAATAATAATGATGATGATGATGTTAATAATAATAATGATGATGATGATGATTTTTTTTTACAATTGACCCCGGAAAAAAGAGAAGAAAAAAAAAAATCGCACGATTGTATCCGAAAGGGGTTTTTTTTTTTTTTTTTTTTTTTTTTTTTTTTTGTTAACAACAAACAAAACAAACACCCGTCAACCCGTCGTCTCTCACCGGAAGTTGTTGCTTTTTTTTTTTTTTTTTTACATACGAAATCATGGGAATCACCTGTCGGATTTCGATTGTTTTTTATTTTGCAGGTGTAACCGCGTTATAGCCGTCGTTTCTCTCGCCGCCCTTAGACCTTAAACCCCCTCCCCTCCCTTCCCCTGCCCCCGTTTCACGGAAAACGGATGGGGAGGGGTTTCCCTTATTAATAACACCACTCGCCGTGACGTCACGGAATACCAACCCATGGATATTTCCGGAACGTTTTTCTTTTTTTTTTTTTTTTCTTATTTCCACCCCGGCGTTGGTTTAATTCGCTTTTGTTACATGGAAACCTCTCGAAATTAATTAATTAAGTTATTATTATTATTATTATTATTATTATCGATCATTATTAATTTAGGGCATTACGACATGGCGTTTCCGTATGAATGGAAAATATGTGGCGGTAAAATATGCGTTTTTTCTTTCTTTCTTTTTCTTTTTTTTACGCTTTTCGACCACGAACAATTTTTTTTCCAGCGTCTTCCTCCAAATACCTGAAAAAGAAAATTCGCGAGGGATAACAAAAAAAAATTTTTTTTTTTCACAATCGCGTATAAATATTCTTCCATTTTGAAATATTCAAGGTTGGTTGAAGGAGTTTAGTTTCTTAATTAAACGTGAATAGAGCGTGTCGTGTCCGCACGGCGCACACCATCTTTTTATTCTTTTGCAGGTTGTTCTTCCTCCTTCTCCTATTTCTTCTTGACTCTTCCTACCGCCACCCTTACCACCCCCCACCACCACCACCACTTCACTCCATGACTATTCCTCCGGTCCCCGAGGAATTCCGGTTCGGTTCATCATTCTTCGGAGCACTTCGGCCACGCAATATGAACCTGTCCTTCTAACTTTTCATACCTTAGACCTTATTACGTCACGGTTCGGTAAATGAGCGAGCGAGCGAGCGAGCAAGTTGGATTATGAATAATAACGTTTTCCAGCGAATGAATATTTAATAATAATAATAATAATAATAATAATAAAATTTTTATTAGTTCAAAAAAAAAAAAAAAAAAATGAAACGTAAAGTCGAGGCTGGCGGGTTCCCCCCTCAAAGACTTTCCTGTGGTCCTCAAACGCTTTATTTATCGTAATTACAGTTTATCATTATTATTATTATTATTATTATTATCCACCATTAAACACGACAAGGCTACTTGTCGGAGTTTTTAAGTATTTATCCGAGGTTTCTACCCAATTCCTTAGGGACAAATACTCGAATTTCGGTGGTGCCACTTATTATAAGATAGCACCACATCAATTCTTGAAGGTCTTCCTGAGTCCGTCTTTTTCGATGGGAACGATTTGTCTCCTGAACTGGGCTCCGGTGACTAACATCTTTGGAGTGGCCAGGGTCAGAAGCAGTGAAATTCACGTTCTCGTCGAGCTGCCTCAGGTCGACAGTAGAACAAGATTTTGTTTTTGGTTCTTACTTTGTCTTGTTCTCATTTTTTTTTTTTTTTTTTTTCTCTTTTAAGCCAACAGCACGTGGCGTTCTCAAACGGTCACCCATCCAAGTTTGCACCACGCCCGATGCTGCTTAACTTCGGTGATCGTACGGGAACCGGTGTGACCAGCACGCTATGGCCGTTGGCTTTATTATTATTATTATTATTATTATTATTATTATTAACATTGGTGAATCGTTCCTTTTAAAATTACTTTTATTTATACGATTATTATTAATATTATTTTAATAACGCGTCAAAATTTGATACTTTTCCTTATCATATTATTATTATTATGATTATTATTACAGGAAACGAAAGTAAAAAGTTTTATTTTAAATTTTTTAATCGTTGATTTGTCTTCTGCATCGACGGACATTTTGTTTTTAAAAAGTTAAAAAGGAAAACGTCGATCGTGTCGACCTCTGCCTACGAATGAAACAACTAAAGGAAAAGAAAAAAAAATTTTGAAAAAGTTTATTATTATTATTATTATTTATTACTTAAAAAAAAAAACATATTCAATTAAAAAAAGATGGCGGATGAAAAAACGGAAGTGCGGGAATCATTTCGTTCGTTGTAAAAAAAAAAAAAAAAAAAAATGGTTAAAATCGTTTCTCTTGATGAAAACTTAGAACTAATTAGTATAATTCTGGGAATTTTTGAATTAATTTTTTCATAGTCTAATAGTTGGTTGGTTGGTTGGTTGGTTGGTTGTTTGGTTGTTGTGTCGGTTGATGGTTTCGTTTGTTAAAAACTTTTCAGGTTGTTAACTTTTCTTGCATCGGTCGTTCGGCGTTTGTTGTTGTCGGATGGCGTTTTGGTCGGTCGCACGCGGTTGATGAATGAGGAGGAGATTCCGGTGAAAAATGTATGCACGAAATGAAAGAGAGAGAGAGAGAGAAAAGATTAAATTTTGATTTTTTTTTTTTCTTTCCAGATTCTTTGGATGGGTATGGTCCATACATTCCGATACAGACTTCAAAACCGATCGGGCATTCAAGTCAATCGACTCCGCCCCCCTACAGGATGCCACCACATCCGTTGCCTCCTCTTCCAGGGGCGACAATAAGCGATCCACCGCCATCGGCTCCTGTCGTCAATCTTCACACGCATTCCAGTAAATTTCCAGTAAGTTTAATTAAATATATATATATATATATATATATATATATATATATATATATATATATATATATATATATATGAAATCCGAGAACCGGAAATTGTGTGGGAGACGGAAAGAGAGAAGAAGGGGGTACGGGGGGAGGAGGAAAAAAAAAAGAAATTAATAAATCAACTTTTCGTTTGTTTTGTATTTCTTTTATTTTCATTTTTTTCTCTCTTTAGAAATGAAAAAGAATGAAAAACCGGAAGTGACGAAAGCAAAAAAAAAAAAAAATTTTTTTTGTTGTAAACGCTGTGAATGTTCTCGTTATTTTTTTTTCAGTTCTTTTGTTTTTTTTTTTTTTGTATTTCTTTCTCTCTTTTTCCAACTTTCTTAGAATGATTACATTCTTTCTTTCTTTCTTTTAATGATAATAATAATAATGACAAAATATATTAATTTCAGATAGAAAGAGAAGTAGTTTTGAACACGGGAGATAAGAATAATAAAATTCCAATATTGAGCGAATATAACAAAAAGCCAAAATCATCTGTTGCACCCGAAGGACCGACAAAACAATTGGCCTGGACTGATAATGCCAAACAGGTATTGATCATCATCATCATCATCATTATTATTATCATTAGTGAGGCGAAGCAATTCGAATTATAAAATTATTATTATTATCATTATTATTATTAATTGTTTTTTTTTTACAATTTCAGTATTTCGGACAAGAAAATTGCTCAAGTTCAATAGTTGATAATTCTTATCCTTCACCAAACATCAACAGACAGAAAAAAAATTTAGATCTCGAAAAAGGCGGTGGAGGCAGCGGCGTCGGCGGGATCGGTATCGGTGGAGGATCGAAAGAAGAAAAAACTAAAATAACGAAAACGTATCACACGCTCAAAGACATGATTTCCAGTAGATTTAATAAGGGAAAGGATAATGTCGAGGAACAAAAACAAATGAACAATCAAACCGTATCTAACGGAAATGATAGTGCGGGAGTTGTTTTGGGGGGTTCGATGGGAGAAAATCGTAGGAATTATAAATCCGAACCTGGACAAGAGTCGGGAACCGTACAACAAAGGGTTTACGGATCGCGGGAAAGATTGATTGACGGATTCCCTCAGGATGCTAACCAAAGATTAAATCATAGAGACACGAGAGTCATGCCGCCCCTACCCGTTCTGAGAGGAAATCATCATCCGAATTTTTCAGGGGCGAGCGACATACTTTCTCCGATACTGCCGAGTTCGCCGATATCACCGCAACAGCAGCAACGTCGTTTGGCACAGCAGAGTTACGAATCGGAAATTTTAAATCAGCATCAGCAATTTCAGAGGAAAACTCAAAATCAACCGAGCGGAGCGGAAACGGGGATAAATTATTCTACGGCGAGAGCTCATTTGGTTCAAACGATCGAAGGGGGGATTCCGCCGAGGGTGGTAGGATCAGGACAAGAGCAGCAATCCGTGCCCGGTAGACACGGACCGACGAAAATGTTGCAGGAACCCATATACACGTCTGGATCGTATCAACACGTTCAACACCAAAGAAGAATTCCGCCACCTCCGACCGGAGCAAAACCCGGTTTCCACGGTCCGGTCGGTGATGTTTCGCAATCGACGTCCAATTTGGTCGAATCCCAAGAAGGAAACTTGACGGCCAATTTGGAATCCAACGGTGTCTACATAACGAAAACTCCAAATCCGAAATTCAACGAAAATTACGCCTACAATCAAAATTTAATTTACGGTACTCGGACGGGATTATCGTCGATGCCGACAAAAGCGGAAATAAATCCGATTCAACCGAAATCGGATAACGTCGGCGGATCATTCGAATCCGAAACGGACGACGACGGAGGTTTTAAAAAAAAAATTCAAAGGAATTATCAAGAGAGTAACAGAATCGGAGATGATAGGAAAAACGATGACGAGGATAAAGGGTCGAGTGAGAAAAAAGATGTCGGTGGTAGTCGTGATAATGATGACGACGATGACGAGGACGAGGACGATGATGATAACAGAGCGGCGGCGGCGGCGGCGGAAAGACCAGGTTCGAGAAGTGAAATTTTAACGTCATCCGGAAGCGGAAATCAAAAAAATCAAGAGAACAAAGTAATTTCTTCGGCCACGAGTTCGGATTACGAAAAAGCAACGAAAAGAAGTTTGGGACAGGGTTCCTCTTTGGGAGATTCCGGAAGAGGAAGTGCGGCTTATTCAAGCGGTCGACAGGATTCGGAAAGGGCAACTAACATCGATTATGTGGAAAAAGTTACGGGAAAAGACAAATCGGAAAACGTGAACGCCGAAGTTTTCGACGGAACCAAAAGAGACGTCAACTATCCTCCACATCCGAAAGGTTTTCCTCCAGGTATTTTGAATTCGTTTTTTTTTTCTTTTTTTTTTTTTTCCTTTTGTTCCACGTAACAATTTTTGTTTTTTTTTTTAAAGGTGGTAACGATTCAGCCGAATGGGTAGAAATCGTGGAATCAGAATTGCGACAAATACTCGATCCGAAATTACACGGTTTGAGCAGTTTCGGTTCGGGTAGAGGATCGACAATGAGCGAAAGCGTTTCATCTCTTACTCCTCCTCTTCCTCCACTATCACCAGGAGGTTCTAGTCCGACACCGAATCCGAGGCACATGCGTTACAAACATTCCAGGTGAGAAATACGAAAAGTTATTCCCTCGGGAGTTTCATAATCAACTGCGAAATCAAATTTTTAAGTTTTTTTTTTTTTTTTTTTTGTTTTAGTCTTCCTTACGGATCGAATATAGAATACGAAGGAAAGGGATCGGAGGATAGAAAATATCCATCGGGAAAAGGAGGAGGACAAAGGAACGGGAGCGGAGCGGTAGGAAGAGTCAATTGGGGTGGTGGTAGAAGTGGTGGTAAAACGGGAGAAAAATCAAGATCCGGGGGCGGAAACAACAGTTCGAGAAATTCAAAAGTTCCATTAGGTGATTATGTGAATTACTATTCATCAGTGACGATGAAATGAAAAAAAAAAAGTGGAATTAACTAACACGAACGTCATTTCTCATTTTAGCCACGTTCGGAGTCGATACGGATCTGGCATCAACGACAACCGGACCTTTAGAATCCGTTTTGGATAGCAGACTAAGCGATCATTCGAGCGACGAAGATTTAAGCACGACGATAGACGCATCCGATGCTCTTGCCATACGTCGACAACTTCAAGGTTTAGAGAACATGTACTCGGAGGTAAGAATAAAACCAGAATCGGTTTCCGGTTCAAATTATTATTATTTTTTTTTTTTTAATAAGAAAAAAATAAAATAAAATAATGCGGTGGTTATTATATTGCAGGTCCTCAAACTGTTAGGAGTTAAAAAATACGGTGGCCGTTACCAACCGACGGATCCAAGAAATAAAAGAAGATACGGTTCAATGTCATCCATACCATCGTCAGTGAGCAGCAGACCGATGAGAGATAAAAAAAGAGACGACAGGAAAAAAGTTAAAGATATAAAGGTAAGTAAAAAAATGAAAAACAGAAAAACGGAATTAGATAATCAAACTAAACGAAATTAAAATTTTATATATATTTTATTCATTTCAAGGGAATTAACAAAAGATTTCAAAGGCTGGAGTCTCACGTCGTTACCCTCGCAAGAAGCGTCGCACATTTATCGTCAGAAATGAGAACTCAACATTTAATGATACAGGTGAGAGAGAAAGGGAAGAAATGAAGGAGAGAGAGAGAGATGCGAGTGGATGAAAGAGAAAGCAAATGAGTGAAAGAGCTAGGTAAGACACATAAGAGTTTCGAGTGCGGAAAGAGGGGAGTTTAGTTGGCGAAACGGAGAGTCGCGAGGGCGAATCGAAGGCTCGAGGAGAGGGCGAAACGGAGAGTCGCGAGGGCGAATCGAAGGCTCGAGGAGAGGGCGAAAAGAGAAGTCGCGAGAGCGAAGAGGGAAGACGCGAGGGGGGAGAGGGAGGTCGCGAGAGCGAAGAGGGAGGTCGCGAGAGCGAAGAGGGAGGTCGCGAGAGCGAAGAGGGAAGACGCGAGGGGGGTCGCAAGGGGGGAGAGGGAAGACGCGAGGGGGGTCGCGAGAGCGAAGAGGTAAGTCGCGAGGGAGAAGAGGGAAGTCGCGAGAGCGAAGTGGGAAGACGCGAGAGCGAAGAGGTAAGTCGCGAGGGGGAAAGGGAAGACGCGAGCGCGAAAAGGAAAGACGCGAGGGAGAAGAGGGAAGTCGCGAGAGCGAAGTGGGAAGACGCGAGGGAGAAGAGGGAAGACGCGAGGGAGAAGAGGGAAGACGCGAGAGCGAAGAGGTAAGTCGCGAGGGAGAAGAGGGAAGACGCGAGAGCGAAGAGGTAAGTCGCGAGGGAGAAGAGGGAAGACGCGAGAGCGAAGAGGTAAGTCGAGGAGAGGGCGAAAGTGGGGGAGGAGTGGGCGATAGTGGGAGTTAAGTGGGCGAAAGTAGGTGTCGAGGGGGCGAAAGTGGGAGTTTAATAGGCGAATGTGGGAGTTTAGTGGGCGATAAGGGGAGTTTAGTGGGCGATAATGGGTGTCGAGGGGGCGAAAGTGGGAGTTTAGTGGGCGATAATGGGTGTCGAGGGGGCGAAAGTGGGTGTCGAGGGGGCGAATGTGGGAGTTTAGTGGGCGAAAGTGGGTGTTTAATGGGCGAAAGTGGGAGTTTAGTGGGTGAAAGTGGGTGTTTAGTGGTCGAAAGGGGGTGTCGAGGGGGCGAATGTGGGAGTTTAGTGGGCGAAAGTAGGTGTCGAGGGGCGATTATGGGAGTTTAATGGGCGAAAGTGGGAGTTTAGGGGGCGATAATGGGTGTCGAGGGGGCGATTATGGGAGTTAAGTGGGCGAAAGTAGGTGTCGAGTGGGCGATAAGGGGAGTTAAGTGGGCGAAAGTGGGAGTTTAGGGGGCGATAATGGGTGTCGAGGGGGCGAATGTGGGAGTTAAGTGGGCGAAAGTAGGTGTCGAGGGGGCGAAAGTGGGAGTTTAATAGGCGAATGTGGGAGTTAAGTGGGCGAAAGTAGGTGTCGAGGGGCGATTATGGGAGTTTAATGGGCGAAAGTGGGAGTTTAGGGGGCGATAATGGGTGTCGAGGGGGCGATTATGGGAGTTAAGTGGGCGAAAGTAGGTGTCGAGTGGGCGATAAGGGGAGTTTAGTGGGCGAAAGTGGGAGTTTAGGGGGCGTTAATGGGTGTCGAGGGGGCGAAAGTGGGAGTTTAGGGGGCGATAATGGGTGTCGAGGGGGCGAATGTGGGAGTTAAGTGGGCGATAAGGGGAGTTTAGTGGGCGATAATGGGTGTCGAGGGGGCGAATGTGGGAGTTAAGTGGGCGAAAGTGGGAGTTTAGGGGGCGATAATGGGTGTCGAGGGGGCGATTATGGGAGTTTATTGGGCGATAAGGGGAGTTTAGTGGGCGATAATGGGTGTCGAGGGGGCGAAAGTGGGAGTTTAGGGGGCGAAAATGGTAGTTTAGTGGGCGAAAATGGGTGTCGAGGTGGCGAAAGTGGGAGTTTAGTGGGCGATAATGGGTGTCGAGGGGGCGAATGTGGGAGTTAAGTGGGCGAAAGTGGGAGTTTAGGGGGCGAAAATGGGTGTCGAGGGGGCGAATGTGGGAGTTTAGTGGGCGATAAGGGGAGTTTAATGGGCGAAAGTAGGTGTCGAGGGGGCGAATGTGGGAGACCTATCTAGGTATGAATTATTCAATGGGCCGAATGAGGTACGTGTAAGATAAAGTGATATTAGGGCGCCCCATGAATTTCCACGTTAGCCTATGAATGAGTTTGGAGGAATTTAGCTTTGGTATGATGGAAACCGCCGCGATCGCCCAGTAATGACGGATGTGGACTTTCTCAAGAGTGTACAGGTTGAATATTCGGAAATGAGTGTGTACGGGATAATGGATGACACTATGAAAACTTTGGAGTTAAAACAAGGAAAATAGATCTTCTTCTGTTGCGAGCCCGGATTCATCCGAAGAAGGTTCTTGTATGAATTTGGTCGGACTGGAAAGGTGTAGTGTACTATTAACTTCTTCTTTAAGTTGAACCGATCAATGCTGAGTTCGATTGGGACGCGTTCTATCTTCATCGTTTGTACTTTCCCTACCTTGCTCCTTCCCATTATTACTTGGTATGTCTTTTGGTATGCTTCCTGTGGGATAAAAGAAAGTTAAATAAAACAAAAAGGTTTACATATATATATATAATAAAACAATCAAATCAACCCCAAACAATAAATA